CTTTTCAACAGTTAATTACAAGAAAACTGCTTAGTAGATTTCCACCTAAAACTAATCAGTATCATTCCCAACTAATATCTTTTGAACAGTTTTTGATTTTTTTAAATCGATTCGGTAGTATGAGCTCAAATGTGGACAAAAAGTTTAACACTTTTTTTCAAATTTTAAAGAAACGGTTCGGCCGATTGTCGCACAAAACTGACAAACGATAGTCCTTATTGAGATACATCAAATAGCTTTTAAATTTCTGAAATCAGTTCAGGCGTTTTTGAGCAAAAGTCATTGAATGGTATAATTTTGACAAATGCCAAAAAAAAAAACGATACTAATTTTTGCAAACTTTGATGAACTTTTAAAATTAAACGACTTGTCGTAGGACCGTGATATTTTAGTATGATCTATAAGACTATGGTATCTACCGTCAAAAAATTAATAATAAAAATCGTCGAAAACAATTATTTGTAACGCTTTATTACAAGAAAGCGGCCCGGCCGATCTCTACTGAAAAGTAATCAGCACGATTCTTAACTAATATTTTTCGAACGGTTTTTGAATTTTTAAAATCGATTCAGAATTGCGAGCTAAAACGTGGACAATTTTTTTTCACTTTTCTGCAATTTACAAAGAAACGGCTCGACTGATCGTCTCTGGCGAGCGTCTAATGGCTTTTAAATTTTTGAAATCGGTTCAGCCGTTTTTGAGAAAACGTCGATTTACGGCAAAAAATTTGTTCACATACACATACTTCTTTCAAATTTAGTCGCATTCGACTCAGAATGGCTCGAAACGTCGAGAAAACATAAAATTAGCGAATCGAATTTTTTTATGAAAACAAATTTCTCTTTCGGGAAGTTAATAAATTATTTTTAAGAAAGCTTTTGCTTTGTTATCAAAAATATTTATTATAATCCAGTGTAGATTTAAAAAAAAATCTATAAAAATAAAATGTTTAACAATCAATTAAAAACAGTCAGCCCGATTTTTCAGAACTTATAAGCACGATATCCAACCAACATTTTTCGAAAAGATTTTGAATTTTTTAAATTGATTCAAGATTGTTAGCTAAATTGTAGACAAAAAGTATTTTACTTCTTTGCTAATTACAAAGAAACGGCTTGGTCGATCATTGTGCAAAACTAATCAACGAGCGTTCTAATTGGAATACATCGAGTGACTTTTGAAGTTTTGGAATCGGTCTAACCGTTTTTGAGAAAACCTGGATGAAAAATCGAAAAATCTGCTCACATGCACAAATAAACACATATTTTTGAAATTTGATGAACTCATCGTCGATTGTCTTGCTGTAACATAGGGAAGTAAGAAATACAAAATGTTATATAATTTTGTTATAAAGATTCTGTGGTTCTATCTTCTCTATATTTTGAAATTTTCCTCCTGAGTCGTACACATAATTCTCACTCAATTTATAAATTATTTTACTGGCATTAAGAAAATAGATGTCTCAAAATAAATACTTCATCCAGTGTTCCATTTAATTCCATGTTTCTAAATCCAGCACAATTACTGTGGCTCAAATATAATTACCGAATGCTTCTGTATAAATTTCCATTCTCCAATATTATCGTTCCATTGATTCGAAAATAGCAGAAAGTACACATCCTGCGATATTTTCATTATTTCATCAGTCGTCTCTCACGAATAAAACATCGTAGAAACAATTGATTGTACAAACATTCGTTGTTTTAATTTCTGCTCGTGTGCGGAACAGAAAATATTTGAAAATTTATTTTTGCATTCTCAATAGCCTCCTGTGTATGATGTTTCATTTGATTTGGTCAGCAGAAACTATTGTTTGCGACGTGTTATTTTTGAAATTCGAAGTTAGACGTGCAATATGCAATTTTTAAAAATAGATACAGGAGGTTTTTCTGTAGATTTGTTACGATCACACTTCCAAAGAATATTTCTGAAAAACGGATATTAAAATTCAAGGAGAGTAAAGTTCCGTCGTGCAGATTCGGGAATAACTAATGAATAAATTAAATAACATATGATTTAAACTAAAATTATTACTAATTATATATTAGTAAAGATGGGAATGACAACTTTTTTTTTAATTTACCAGTTAGCTAGGAGAAAAGTAAATTAAATGGTAACATAAAATTTGTCTACATGGAAATACTGAAGTAGAGTTCTTAAAAACAATGAATTAGTCATAAAATCAAATCATATAAGAAAAGAGCGAGTGTCACAACCGTCCCTGAGAGTGCAGACTCTCATTTAAATATAGATTAAAAATAATCATTTAAACAAAGCTAACGAATAAAATATAACAATATATAACAAAACATATTTATAAACAAAGTTAATAAGAAGTCCCTGTAAAATCCTTTTTTTCTTGGATTTGTTCACGAAAATAGCATCACATATTAATAGAACAACAAAAGAATATACTGTGTGAGTAAATTATATATTGAGAGAAAAATAGTGATATGTAGAGATAAATATTGTAGAGAGTGTTATTGGAGACAATAAACGAGTAATTAGAGATGAGGTGTATAAATTACTAAGAATTCACTTCCCTTAGGATAGTTATAGTAATGGGCCAAAAATCAAAAATAATTTTTTTTGCATTTCTCGACGTTTTGAAGGTTTCTGATCATTTTGGCATACCTCAGAAAAAATGAATGTGTGTGCGTGTGTGTTTTGTATCTCCGCATTTTTTCGTCCACGTTTTCGGGCGCACGGATCAAACGATTTAAATGGTTCAAAAATTATTGGATTCCTACTGATAGGAGATATGTTGATTAGGTTTTGGCAAAGGCAGGTCTAGCCGTTACGGCGATGAGGAGCAAACAGTGCAGAAAACAGAAATCGAGATTTTGAGAGAACGGAGCATCCGATTGGAATGATCAAAAAAACATTCAATTTGTAATGATACGGATAAGTGGCGGTTAGTTTTTGACAAAGGCAGGTCCAGCCGTTTTGAAGATACAGAGCTAAATGTACAACAAATGGCAGTTTTTTAGAGAACTAAGCATTCGATTTGAATGATTCAAAAAACTTTCTGCTTGTGTTGACAAAACAATTCCTTTTTTTGATAAGGGCCATAGCAACGCTATGTTATCTGCTGTATTAACGCAGAATTGAGGTCTCGAAACCCACCTTATCAATCGTACTATTTAGTATTAGCAATTATTTTATAACAATACCTTTAACCAAGATTGATCATCAAGGTAATGAATGATCTATCCTTTCCTCTCCAAAATATTCTATTGCATTGAATAATTATTAATTATAGCGTAAAGAACTTTTAATAATGAAGCTCGCATAATATAATGCTTCCTTCCTTCCGTTTAAACTATCGGAACAGTTTATAATGAAACCTTTGACTTGCGGGAGAATACCCCGACGAACAAAGTAAATTACTCGAACTTTGTGCAAATTTAATATTTCAACGCCGAACTTAATAGTTTCTTTTTTTGAAGTCGAGTAATTGAAACAGATTTATTTTAAATATAATATAATAGATTAAATGAGTATGCCAAAATGTGTTTTTAATTCATGATGTCAATATCAATATTTTTACGTGGTGGTCATTTAATTGCAAAGAGTTACTTTAAATGATGACATTTGGATATATGTTAGTCTAAAAATAGATTCTAGTTTTTTTAATTTGATGAAGTTTTTCATTTGGCGCATACAATATATTTTTCATTTAAATCAAATAGTTTTGTGAGTGCCATTTCTACCAAAATCAAAATTAATCGTGTTCCATCCATAATTATATTGGGGCAATTGATCCTGGATAGATGGATTCTAGTACATAGCACAACTTTAGTACAAACGATTTACAAAGAACTCACAATTTTATGATTTTTTTTTTTAAATCAACAAATTTTTATTATATCTCAGAAAAAATAAAAGATACGTATACAGGTATATGAATAAAAATTTAAAGTCTTTTTCTGACTAATTATTGCTCTTTAAGTTTTTTCTGTTTTACAAACATTGATAGAGTTATGATTCTCAAGATTGATAGAGGTTCTATTTAGCTCTTTAACTGTTTGCCGTTTCAAAATAAAAGAAGTTACAGTAACATTTATGATAAAGAAAGTTGTAGCCATTTTAACTATCTTCAAAATAATATATTACAAGTTCTGAAAAAAATCAGAATACAAAGAGTAATTATAAAATGACCAAACGGTCGAAGGCCAAATAAATAAATAAAAAAAATAGTAATAATTCAATAAATGCAGTTACAATAACCTTCCCGGAGGGTGGAGACGGAATGCTAATTATTTTTACTTCGGAGGTTAAATGTAAAGAGATAAGCCTTTTTCCAAAATATCATGCAAATTGGAGCACAGTGAAAAAATTCACATGTTCACTCTTTTTTCATGTCCATTTACTGCACTAATTTAGTTGATCGTAGATTGAATAGTGCACATGCGAACAGGACTTGACAATTTAATTCGCTTCAAATATGAACTTAAGTAATAATGTATATTGAATTATTTGTGAGTAAAATGTAATTTAGATATTATAATTACTAAAAGCCCGTTAAAATACGATACGGTACGGTAGGCAATGAAAAATATAGGCAACATTACTGAAGCTATTATTTTGGACAAAATAACCCAAGGTGATATTGTACCATTACCGCGGATAGTATATGTTAATTAATTCTTTAATATTAATATTCTTTAATTCTTTCGTTAATTCTTTCTAAAATTGTTAATACTGTACTGTTTAAAAGACTGCAATTTCACGTGGCTGATTTCAATTTTACAGTGCAATTAAAGAGCTAAGTGTGGGTTTTGAGCCTCATTTTATTAAAAGCAGTTGTACATTTAAAATCACCCATATAAATGTATATACATTTCTGTATAAACTGTAGTGTAAAAAACAGAACTTCTGAATTGTAGACATGGGTACAGGACAACGTCTGTCGGGTCACCTAGTATATATATATATATATATATATATATACATATATACATACATACATACAATCTTATATCTACCACTAACCTTTAAGATTTCTTTCGCCCTGTCTCCAAGTAATTTTTGGAGCTGGTCTACCATCAAATGCTTCACAAAACAGAAGCAATTGGGCACCTTCTCGTAGAGGTCCCAAAGCACTATTATGGGGCAAAGTGTCCCCATTTTCGTCAGCAAGTACCACCTTTGTTGGTGCCACTAAAATTAAAAATAGTACATATAAAACAATGTATTGGAGATCATATCGTACTACTAACATACTCATAGGAAACAAATACAATAAACATCATACATCAGAATAATAAAAAATATGGCGATAATATGGCTTTATTATCAGCTTTCAACCTAATTTCTTTTGTGTACCTCTACTGTATTACAGAAACTAGTTACTCTAATCATAATCAACCATATTAAATTCGATTTTGTGATTACATCCCACAAATCCAATAATAGTTACGTTGATCAGGACGACAATAGTCGAATAGAATTATTTAGCTCTATAGCCAATATCGGATTGATAACTAACTCATTAGGTTATATTTCTAATTAAATTCCACACATTTCTGTAATATACACCTGGATATGAGATGAGTTTCGCAATTTCGCTACCGAGCGAGTTAATTTGACAGGAATACATAGAAATTAATAGAAAAGGAGCTAGCGTAAATGTCATAATGAAGTTTTACTACAATTACTTTTATTGTGGTATGAGCTTTTGCAACCACAAGGTTTCAGGTTGAATACCCGTATGAAACGGACTGATATCATGCAGTCTTAAATACTTACAGATCTTGAAAAAAATTGAATAGATACTTAAAGATATTTTAATTATATATATATATATATATATATATATATATATATATATATATATTATATTATTGTATAATAAAATAGACAAATAATATGTATATATAAAATAAAAATTGTTTCATAATCTCCCATATCAGACACCTCTGTCCGACTGAGATATGAATAAATAAAAAAAATCTAATGAGCCTATTCTAGGATAACGAGGTTTTGTTACGTTATCAGATTCCCATGGTATAAACATGTTTTCACGTAAGAGAATGTTTTTCAGGCACCTATTTTATTTTGATAAATCATATTTTCCTCATGTTGGCTCTCAATGTGTTGGAGGTCAAAAAATTGTCAAAAAAGCTATATCGATATTAAAATGAAAATTTGTTTAAAGTTTTTATACTGTCAATAGCTAATGATTAACCTAGCAGAAATGTTAAAATAATATTAGTTTGACTTCATGCATATTCTACTAATACGTGCAAGTCTTCAGTAGAATAGGGTGGATATTTGACTCAGTAATTTTATAAAAACTCATAATTTAAAAATCTCTTTCTTAATATTTTTAAATCTTTGTCATCTGTCCCTTTTTGCCAACAGATTCAACACCTTTTTTTAATTGTAAAGAAATTTTATGCTGCCGTATTCAACCGTAAGTTATAGAACGCCCAATTAGTTCTGATCATAATGCATTATTATTGATATATTTTGAATATTTTATTTAGAAAATAAATTAAAAAATTAAAAAATTAAAAATACTTTCATTTATGATTTCATCTGCAGAATTAATTGATTTATAGAAGTATCTATTTGCTTTCAAAAGCCAGATTAATACTACTAAAAATCATTGCGATCACTATTTAGTGGTGATTAGTTTTTGGTAAGGGCAGATCCAACCGTTTTGAAGATACCGAACAAAATGTAAAAAATGGCAGCTTTTGAGAGAATCAAGCATCCGATTTGAATGATTCATAACTTTCTGCTAGTGCTGACAAAACGTTTGCTTTTGAGAAAATATTTTTTTTTAAATTTTTTTTATTTCCAAAATAAAACTTTTTTGGATATCGAAAATAAGTCGACTTTTTTTAATTTTAATTCGGTACGGGAAGTTCTAATAATTGGCCTCAAGACACGATGCCAACATCACTAGTTAATTCGAATTTGCTTTATAAATATCAAACAAAATGAGTGAGTAGTACTTTCTGACAAATATACATTTCTGCTTTGGGAAGTTAAAAAGCAAGAACATTTTAGAAGTTTATTAAAATCAATTAAATTTACATACTAAATTTGCAACTAACTGATCAATAAAAATACATAAACTTGCAAAAAATGCTTTGCAAGTTTGTTACATAATAAGCAAGTACGTGTGTATGTTAATGTGAATGCGCGCCAAAATTTGGCACTTGTCAACGCTTGCTAAAAATAGCTGTTTATTAAAGATAAGTGCAAAATGTTTATCAATTTTATCGCTAAAAATCCTGAACAATTCTAAATAATGCACATCCATTTGAAAAGCATCAATTCCGCTAATTGGCATTTGATATATATCGGCAGTAATTAATTGTTGAATTTTTTTTAGAATTTTAACTAAATTATAAATAGGTATAAGTTTAACAAGTAATCAGCCAACATCCTAGAATATTATACACTTACGAAAAGTAGTTTATAATTTAAAAAATTCATTGAAGGTTGTAGTAATTTGCGTGTATGTTGTATTAGGGGCGTTCCCGGCAGTTGAATTTTTTTGAAAAGCTTTATTTTCGAGTAATCAGCAAACATCTTAAAATATTATAGGCTCACGATAAGTATTTTAATAATAAGAATTCATTGAAGGTTGTAATAAGTCGGCTCCAAATGGGACGCCATATTGCGTGTATGTAATAAGGGCGTTCCCCGCAGTTGAAATTTTTATTGAAAAGCAAAGGTTTTATTTTCGAGTAATTATAAAACACTATAAAATATTATAGGCTTACGATAAGTAGTTTAATTAAAAAAAATCATTGAAGGTTGTAATAATTTGGCGCCAAATTAGACGCCATACTGCGTGTATGTATTAAGGGCATTCTCGGCAGGTGAAATTTTTATTAAAAAGCAAAAGCTTTATTTTCAAAATAGTCATAATTTGAGAAGTTGATAAACTTATTTATGTACAAGACGAATGTATTGCTTTTTATAAATTGAGTAGATTATATACATAAATCAGAAATATTCATGAAACCAGCCGCAAGGTATAGTGATGCATAAATCTAATTTAAGGTATAATGACGCTTACATCTAATTAATTCTTAATCATATTGCAATATACAAAATTAAATTAAAATTTTATGTTAGCTACTACGCACCTCACTTTCGCAAAAGCCCGTTTTCAATTGAAAACACAAAAATAAACACAAAATAATCAGGCGCCAAAATAGCTGGCCAATATTGACACTTAACTATACAATTTGTAAAATGAAGACGTTTTGTTTCTTTGGAATAAATAACAAAACATAGAATTAATGTTTGCCACTTCACCACTTTAATGAAAATTTAAAACTTGAACTATCACTGACTCAACTAAATTAAAACCAACGAAAAAGATATTACGTAACCGAATAAAAATGATACACCAAAAAAAAAAAAAATAAATAAACGCACTAAACTTTTAATAGTAATCCAACCAAACCACAAGAAAAACTGACCTCAAATGATAAGCGTGGGTCCAAAAATTTTTGGGAGGAAAGAGATAGATATATTGAATTAGAAAGGGACAAATATAGTGTTGATATATTGCAAACGCGAGATGGCGCCAGTGTTAACATTAATAAATGAAGGAATACTCGTACAGAGGTCTCCACATGTTTAAGGAATGAGAAGTAGATTTGTTTAATATAAGTTAATTTTTGACCGCAAATGGCAGTTTTTTTTCATTTTTTTCATAGGATCTCCAAAAGTTGTTCATTTCGTAAATACAAGTAGAATAGTTTTTAAATCAGTCAAACAGGCGCTCCATTAGCTCAGAAACCAAATTAGTTGAAAGTGGCATTTAGCCTTAAGGCAAGTTGCATGAACTTCCCGAAATGTGTAACAATTGACTTAATTGAGATTTAGATATTTAGATAAAATTTTCAACCGTTTATTTCAAAAATAAAGTTATCGCTTTTAAATAAATCTAACATTGCGATTTCGAATAAAATTTTCTCAAACACATTTAAATTATCTGTAATTATATTTTATATTGTACGGACACGTGCTTGTATGCCCCAAATTTGATACTATTATTATAAATTTTATTGAATATATGTTTGACTCATCACATCACAAAAGCGCATTTGACATAAATTTCGACTACAGTATTTTCTCAAACTTTGACGAATTTTTAACATTAAACTATTTGCCGTAGGACCGTAACATTTTAGTATGTTCTATAAGACTAAGACATCTATCGCTAAAAAAAGTTTCACAAAAATCGTCAATTTTTTTTTGCATTAGTTAATTACAAGAAAATGGCCCGGTAGATTTTTACCTAAAACTAATCAGTATCATTCCCAACCAATATATTTCGAACAGTTTTTGATTTGTTAAAATCGATTCAGAATTGAGAACTGAAACGTGGAAGAATTTTTTACTTTTCAGCTATTTACAAAGAAACGGCTCTGCCGATCGTTGCACAAAACAGAGAAAAGACATCGAAACATATCGACTGGCTTTTAAATTTTTGAAATCGGTCTAGCCGTTTTCAAAAAACGTCGATGAAAGGTCTAATTTTGACAAACGCCATATAAACGATACTAAATTTTGCAAACTTTGACGAATTTTCTAAATTACACGAATTGTCGTAGAGCCGTGAAATTTTAGTATGATCTATAAGACTATGGTATCTACCATAAAAAAAAGAAAATCATAAAAATCTCGGCAATTTTTTTCAACACTTTATTACAAGAAAACGGCCCAGTCGAACTTCACCAGAAACTAATCAGCATGATTCCCAACGAATATCCTTCGAACGGTTTTTGAATTTTCATAATCGATTCAGAATTCGGGCTAAAACGTGTGGACGAAAATTATCTCACTTTTCTGCAATTTATACAGAAACGGCCTGGCCGATCGTCGCACAAAACTGACAAACAATGTTTCTCATCGAAGCGCCTCGAATGGCTTTTGAATTTTTGAAATCGGTCCAGCCATATTTGAGAATATGTCGATTCACGGCAAAAAATCTGTCCACATACACATACACACATACTTTTTCCAAATTTGGTCTCATTCGATTCAGAATGGCTTGAAACGCCGAGAAAACATAAAAATAGCAAATCGGATTTTTTGATGAAAACAAACTTCTCCTTCGCAAAGTTAATTATTGGTTATATGTGCAAAACGCCTGATGGCACATCAAATACATAGTTTTTGGACAG